TTACTTTAAATTTTGTTGAAGCCAACCAACCAACAAACCAAGAGAGAAAAAAAAAAATCGTTACTCCTATTACAAATTTCTGGGGTTTCCATCTAAGTTTTCTTTTACTTTCAAATTTATTTTTTGGTTTTCCTTTTTTCTTTGCTTTTCTTTTCTCTGACAGTAATGAGCGTTTGTCGTTCGTTCGTACGTTGAGTAGAGTAGTGTGTAATTAATTCCTAAAGAGTCTACTTACATAGAAATTTTGTAGACATATACAATTTGTGGTTTATTTCAATTAAAGGTCCAATTACTGAAGACAAAGCAGAAGTAGGGGAAAAAAGACAGCCCCAAAAGAAAAGGTACCGAAATCGGTAGTAACTGAAGTGTACGATGGTACGTGTGTTGGTAGGAAAAAACCATCATCAGACACCTGATACATTTTACCTGGTTGGCATAATTTACTTTATACAAACACACACACACACTTAGACACATGCTCACTTTTATCAACCGAAGAAAAATAGGAAGAAGAAGAAGAAACTCTATAACAATTAACAAACAGGATTTTTATATTAGGGTAAGGGGTGTAAATTAAAATTTGAAAGTTTATTCATTTTCTGCGGTTTGGGGTTAATAGTTTGCTAGGCTGAAAGTTTTCAGACTTGGGAAAGAGATTTTCTGCAAAGAATCCTCCCATGTTGAATGGTGGGCGCGCTCCTTCCTAACTCATACATTCATGCATTTTTCATTGGGGAATAAGGGAATGGGGCTAAAAAATTGGCATTAAATAATATTGCGATATTTTTAAATGCTAAATAGGTTCGTAGGGCCTTGGGTCTTTATAGAGAGCGAGATGGAGAGAGAAAGTTGTTCGATTTTTTGAAAAAATAAGTACAACTGTAACTCATATAGTCCATTGTATATCTCAAGAAGATCTGGAAAGATAAATTATATCATCTTCTTGAAAAGTTTCCAATCGAATTAAACAGCTCCCAAAGAAAAAACTCATGTCTCACCCTAATAATGCTAAAATAAACTTAGACTCTCACATGTGTTTAGAAGATATATGTTTAGTAGGTTTTATGCATGATGATGCATCCATCCAACCCATCAACCAACCTTCCATCCATGCATGCATGCTTCTTGCATCCATCCATGTATCATCATTACCCAACATTATGACCATCATTACTTTTAGTTATTCAAAGAAACATTTTCAATGTGATTATTTTCTCTTTTGTGCCCCACCTGACCGGTCTTGGTCATCATTGTCATTATCATTTACCTAGACCGACTGCACCTCTCTTCTCCGCTGTCTCTCTGGAGATTGGTTACTTGAAATGCGCTTTAACAATTTTAAATGCATTAAATGGGTCTATAAATCGAGAGTGTAACCAAAGAAGGAAGATTCTCTATCTGTCTGTTGTAGTTACAGTAGGTGATGGCTGATTGAGAGCAAAGGTTGCTGCATTGTCTGTATGTGGCCTTGTTTATATATGTGTGTGTGTGTGTGTTTGTATGTAAATTGATAAAGCATGGAACTTGATGCTCGCATCATGGGTCCATTACTGTGACATCCAGTTACAGAAATAGGCCATATATAAAATTTATGTGAATCGGTGTGTGTGTATGTGTTAGAGTGTGTTGCAGACATTGATACGAATACGATTTATGTACATCCTCCCTACATTTGTAAATGTAAGCTGGTATCTTACGCAGGGTAGGATTTTGAAGGATAAGGGCCTTAAATTATGTGGCCAAATTTGGACTTTTAGCAGCCAACAAATATGTGGTTGCATCTGCCATTGTTGGTTTGAAAATGGAGTATATCGGCCCACGTTTGGGTAATTTGAAATTCAATAAAAACCTTTAATGCATTTATCGTACACCCCAAAAGCGACCTTCATTCTATATTTCCGATTTTCAGCTCATTCCTTTCCCGAAATTTAGTGCCATTTAGTACGTTTTGGATTTATTGGTACGTTTTTTAAAATCCACCTCATTTTTCAGCCCCACCTAACAAAAAGTGACCTTCATTCCAAATTTCAGGTTTCCAGCTCTATATCTTCATCATATACCAAATTTAGTAGCGTTTAGTACTTTTCGAACTTTTTAGTAAATATTTTAAAACCTACCTTCAAATCTCCACCTGAGACACTAACAGTGACACCAATATCAAAATTTCAAATTTTCAGCTCCATAATTTCACCCAAATCCAAATTATACCAAATTAAGTACTATTTAGTACGGTTCTTACACTTAGTACACATTTCGAAAACCAACTCCTTTTATCAACTCCAGTTCCCCAACGTAATAATTATTTCAAATGTCTTAATTTTGGCACTACCCGTTCTCATAATAGCAAATGGTACCAAATATAGTACTTTTTCGTACTTCTACCACACTTTTAGTTCGAATTTCAAAAAAAATAATAAATAAATAATTAACTGAAAAAAAAAAATAAAGCGTCTGTCCTATCAGCGATCTTTATTCCAAATTTTCTATTCGTTTGACCAATACAATGGTTAAAATTTTTGGCACCTTTTAGTAATTTTAGTAACAAAAGGAAGTACTAGAGTTCTACAACCGCCTCTTCACACTAAGCTACCTCCTCACCAATACCAGTAAAGCCCTTCTTGATTTATAAATAGTATAACTAGCACGACGGTTTTTTATATATAAAGAATTCAAATCTTTATAACAAAACTTGACAAGTGTAGCGCTACATATGGGTCATCCTTTGTGTAGGGTTTAGTCTATAACAACTGCCCGAAACAAAGTTGTTTTTTTGAACACCCCCAATTTCTTTTGTGGTTATGGTCCACAAACTGAATCCAATGAAATCCACTTGGAGTTCTCGATACGACAGATTGGATGTTACCCACAGTAATTTTAATGTGATTTTCATTGAATTCGGAAATAAGTGCCAAATTTGCCAAGTTTTTTTTTTTTTTGTACCAAAACATATTATATTTTGCATGATATATCTTGAGTTTACACATATATTTTGTTCAGAGACTCATAATGAAATTTGATCTAGATTATTTCTTTCTTTGAAAGCTTGTCCTAAAAATGATGTATAAGGGAAGATTTTGACTTGGTTTGGAAACGTGTTAAATTAACAGTTGAAAAAGCAAATACAAAATGTTCACTTGTAGTATATAAATTGTAAATGTAATTTTCATAAAAAGTATTACACCTAGATATATAGTTTCTTCTGAGATTTATAATCAAATTTTGTGTAGAATATTTCTTCCTTTGACAGCTTCCCCAAAAAATAAGTATAAAGGGAGATTTTGACCTGGATTGAAATTGGGTTAAATTAACATTAAAAAAATCAAATACGTAATTTTCACTTCTAGTACATAAAATGCGAATGTAATTTTCTTAAAAACCATTGTACCTAGATGTATGATTTGCTCTGAGATTTATAATCAAATTTTGTGTAGAATATTTCTTCCTTTGACATCTTCCCCAAAAAATTAAGTATAAAGGGAGATTTTGACTTGAATTGAAATAGGATTAAATTAATATTAAAAAAGCAAAGTTAAAGTTTTCTTTTTTAGTACATACATTTTGAATGTAATTTCCATAAAAACTATTGTACCTAGATATATGCTTTTTCTGATATTTATAATGAAATTTTGTGTAAAATATTACGTCCTTTGACAGCTTCCCCAAAAAATGAAGTATAAAGGGAGATTTTGACTTGGATTGAAATTGGGTTAAATTTACATTAAAAAAAGACATAACTTTCATTTTAGAACATATATTTTGAATGCAGTTGTCATAAAAAAACACCTGTACCTAGATATCTGGTTTATTTCAAACTTTTTAGTGAAATTTTGTATATAACATGTCTTCTTTTAACATCTTTTGCCTAAAATGAAATTTTATGTTACTTTTAGGCGTCAATTCGAATTAAGTCCAAGGCAAAATTAATAAACAAAGTTAGAAAATAATTTCTCTTTTTTAGACATTATTCGTGTGAATATTTTTTTCCTAATATATAATGAAAACAGTAATATATTTTCGTTGGTGATTTATATTGAAATTTGATGAAGAACATTTTTGTCTTTGACATCATCCCTCTAAAATGATATTCTGTAAAAGATTTTAGCATAAACTCACATAAAGTATAGGTTTAACCCAAAAATGTGTTTTTATATGATTTTCTGGCGTTTAGGTAAGATGTAGAATTTTGACGTCTTCTAGGACCCGTAGCAGAATTTTACGACAAATAATTTTTTAGAATATTTTGACTTGCTATGATCCCGTTTAAATGGAGTTTTTAACGAAATTTTCAAAAAAGGACCTAAAAGACCAATTTTTTGTCTCGCTTGAGGATTAAAATTTGCCACCAAAATAATAATTGTATTGTTATCAATAATATTATTGATATTACTGAAGACTTTGATGACATTTTAATTTTGAAAGACCCAGTTAAGGCCCTTGTGTAAAAGTCGCCCTTATAACTCTAACTTTTTGCTGAACTTTAATATAATGTTTTTTCTTCCTCTTTTTTTATTTTTTTCTTGTTTTTGTTGTTGTTGTTGTATCTATGCAAATGTTCACCTAGAATGCACACATTCGCACACTATTCTATTCCCCCAGATCTCGTTGATATGGTGTTCTTGGTAAAATGTACTTTGCACCTGTCCTGTCCTGGCTATCAACCCATAAACATTTTGAAATGCTTTGTAAACAAAACTAAGTAAAATTCTTGTATTTTTCCATTTTTTTTTTTTTCAAACACAATACTCACTTCATTGTATGTGCGTGCAAAGGGGATTTGTATCCCTGATATTTGTGTAAGACAAAAAAAAAAAAAAAAACACTGGCAGACCAGTGTATGGAATGATAGTAAGGTTTGCAAAATTTGTAATGACTTTTAGGGTACATTGTCTCAATTTGAGAAAGTTTCTCCAGTTTCAATGGGACTTAATCTGCTTTGTTATAATTCTAGTGTTTTTTTTTCTTTTGCAAAATTATTGATAAATGTATGCGTGTATACTTACATTTTTGTATTTTTTTTTCTCTCTGAGAAATTTTTCTGCAAAAATTCAAGGGAAATTTATAATCTGCAAGGAAAGAAAACAAATAGGAAAAATTTGGTTATTTAAGTGTTAATATTTTAAAACCATAAAATGAAATCAGAAAGGATAACGGCATTAAAAACTACAAACAGGGCACACACGCACACCCATACACAATTAGAGAAAATTATGAGCCTAGGCAGAACAATAGTGTCCCTAATGCCATAAACCTTTTAAATTTTAATCCCCCAGATTAACCAGTTTTTGCCGAAAATGCTAGCCTTTGTTTATGGCATAGATTAAAGATTAGCCTATCATCATTTATGCAGCTGAGGGTGTTTTTGTTGGTGTTGTTGTTTAAATTCTCATACAGGTGTTTTTTTGGCAATGGAATTTTTCTCTGAATACCGTTGTTTGAATGGATTATTTGTTTTTGCAAGAATTTTTTGCTTGCAGACATCTATTGATTTTTATTGTATAGATAAATTTGTTTTCAAAATAGTTTTCATTGTAAAAGCATACAAAAAGGATGAGTTGTCTTTGCATATTGATTGAAATATTAGGAAAACGTTTAATTCGGATTTTTTCATTTGAGATATAATCCTTTATTCTATTGTGAACCATATGAAAATCCAGATTTGGCAGATTAAGGATTATAGGCGCTCAAATTTCCAAAAAAATGTTGGGAGAACACCATGAAAAGGGTTTGCTTTGAATTGAAAGATTATTAATTTATGTATTCAATATAAAATCTTAATTGTACAGGGAAAAAAAATTTAAAAAATCAGATTTGGTAGATTAGAGATTGCTCAGTGAAACAGCCAATCTGGGTGGTGAGAAATTCAAAGTGGAGTCATTAGTATTCGTTTAGTAGACCAAAAGCCCAAAAGGATTTCGAGTTCTCAAGCCAAAATTTTTAAGGTCTATTTAAGGACTATACATAGCCTTACCCATAGACAAAGAACCTCAAGTGTTTTTCTACATGCTTTCCAAAATTTGAGATAGATTTTTATTATTTTTAAAATTTTCTGTAAGATCTCTACCCCCAAAATAGCCTAAATACAAATACTTAGCCAAATATATTGGAAAATGTAGTCAAGGTCCTCAAAATAGGTAAAATCAGGAGGTACTTTTATATAGGCGGTACTCTGAAACTTTGACCTTTGACATTGAAAGTTTTTTGCGAGCAGGTTTTCTGCCCCCTAAAAATCAAGATTTCGAATAAGGGCCAAATTAATTGAAAAATGTGGCCAAGACTTCTGAAATCGCTGAAACCAGGGGTTAGCTTTAGATTAGGGTTATAGCTAAACGGGGTCCTACATTGACATTTTCTTGCAGGAATGGTTTCTTATTACTAGGAACTCAAATTATCAAAATTTTCCGGAATATAAAAAAAATTAATATGGCTAAAATGTAAAAATATTTAAAATCGGGGTAAACTCTTATATGGGGGCAATGCCGACATGACCCATATTTTGTACAAATAATTCTACATGTTACCCATAGGCCTGCATTAAATGTATAACTTCTTTTTTAAATTTTTGCAATGTATAGAGAAAAATATTTGAGACTCTTTGTGTATAGTTAAGGCTACGTATAATGGGTTCTAAAAAAAATTTGATCGGGGAACCCAAAACCTAATCGAATTCTGTCCCTCTACTTGGATTTTCCCACCCACCATACCATGACATGAAATTGGCGCCCAATGTTATAGGACCTCAAATAACAATTGAGATTTCAAGGTGGTTTTGAAAATATGTACTAAAAATGTGCTAAATGATACTAACTTGGTATTTGAAGAAGCGATAGAACTGGAAGTCTGAAATTTGGTATTGAGACCCCTTTTGTAAGGTGGAGGTTGATATTTGGAGGTGGATTTTGAAAAACTTAGATGAAAGTATGAAAAGTAACAAATAACATTAAATTTACTATTTAGAGAAAGGAAATATGAATATGGAAGAGGGTATTTGACGTTGCGTAGGATTGCTGAACAAAAAGTTTTATGGAAATTCGATTAAAAAGTGTAGCAAAAGTACCAACGTGAACTAAATTTGCATGAAGGTAAGAAATTTGGTATGGAAACCATGTTTAGGAAGTAGTTTTGATATAAGGAAGTTATTTTGGAAATGTGCATCAAGTGTAAGTCCCGTAAATAACACAAAAATTTGTACAATTTGATTTTTGGTGAATTGAAATTTAAGTATTGAAAGGGGTATTTCTGGAAATGTGTACCACAAGTATACAAAAAGTCCTAAATGGTACTAAATTTTGCAGGGTAAATGTGAATACGATTCAGATATATGGGGAATATACGATATCGTGAACCTATATAGACAAATTTTCTTTCAGGGGGTAAAGTACTTACAAGGGAATCCTTGTTTGGAATTTCAGACAATTCCATTGAAAAATGTTACTAAAATTATCAAAATACCGAATATCGTAGGTTACCGTTATATGGGTGATATACGATATCGTGGACCTATATATAAAATTCTTTTTCAAGGGGTAAAGTGCTCACAATTGACTCCTTGTGTGGAATTTCAGACAATTCCATTGAAAAATGTGGCTAAAATCATCAAAATACCGAATATCGGGGTGTACCGTTATATGGGGCTATACGATATCGTGGACCGATATAGCCCATCTTCGAACTTGACCTACCTGCAGACAAAAGACAGATCTGTGCAAAATTTTAGCTTCAAATCTTAATTCGTTTTGACTGTAGCGTGTTTACAACAGCCGGGCAGACGGACGGACAGGGCTAGAATTTTACGCTGATCAAGAATATATATACTTTGTTGGGTGTAAAATGATTATTTCGATGAGTTGCAAACGGAATGAAGAACTTAATATACCCTCCATACTATCTATGGTGGAGGGTATAAAAAGTCAATTGTTCTGATGTATCGAGTTTTCAGTGGACTGATTTAGCTTTCCGCAAAAATATCAAAGAAAAATCCACTTTTTTGTCTTTTTCATGTTTCGGCCACAATTTGACATTTCGATATTTTTGTACGTAAGAAAATATATATTCAACATAGCTACGGATATAGGAAACTGTCGTCCCAATTCCTTTGTAATGTTTAGTTAACCTTAGTTTGACTTCAAATTTACAAAGACACCATTTTTTCAGATTTGAACTTCAAATATTTACAATTTTTACATCTAATAAGGGACAAACATTTATCTTGTCCTTTCAGCCATTACATTGACATGACAATCAAACTATAACTCTCTTACATCATTTTATAAAAAAAAAATCATTAATATGCCAAGAAAATCATTTCTCTTGTATTCTGCAATTTTGATTTATTTTGTTGTTTATATTGAAATTATCATCAATTTTCCACCCTCCTCTCTAAAAAATAAAAGAAAAAAACTAAGCATTTGTTGATGCCACATACATAAATGAGCCTTCCACTTTTTGTGTAGTTTAGAAATAATTAGCCATACATTATTTATGGATCGGTATATTCAAGTTATTATTTATTTTTAGAGAAAAAAAATTGAATAATAACAACGACAAGAATACGGTTATTTGAAACCGTATCTAAACATGAGGTTGGGTTTTTTTTAAGAATTTTGTCTGGCTTATATTATTTTTTTCTGCCTTTGCCATTGCCATTGTCTGTCCATATTTCATTTTTGTTTCGTTACTTTTGCTCCTTTTTATATTTGGTTGGTCTCCTTGCTGACTGCCTGCTGTTATGCCATAGCGCACATAATACAAAAGACCAGAAATTTGATACAAAACAGGTCTGTTAAGATAAATTCCGAATTTAACTAGCGAAGACACAAACCACAAATTTAACATAGAAAATAACAGCGCTCTGTTAACGTTAACAGAGCCAAACGAATATAGTTTTTTCCTTAAAAATATTAATTTATATTAATTTTTTATATAAAATGGCCAAATAGTACCCATATCTACACATCATAAATTATTGTTACAAAGACTACAAGGTTACAACCATCCATTAACTTGTAACACAATCGTATGTGGCAGGACATACTTTCAACCCACAACGCCTTCCAGGATCTTTCTTCCGGGTCAACATACATATCAATGGAAAGCTTACGAAGAGCACTATCCATTGACATCATAAAAAGTTTAGAATTTTTGGATAGTTTCCGAGGTATTTGGCCATTTCTGGTGAAATCCTTTGAACAGGATAATTCCATTGGCCAATACGCTTTCCAGGACCTTTCTTCCGGGTCAACATACATATCAATGGAAAGCTTACGAAGAGCACTATCCATTGACATCATAAAAAGTTTAGAATTTTTGGATAGATTCCGAGGTATTTGACCATTTCTGGTGAAATCCTTTGAACAGGATAATTCCATTGGCCAATACGCTTTCCAGGATCTTTCTTCCGGGTCAACATACATATCAATGGAAAGCTTACGAAGAGCACTATCCATTGACATCATAAAAAGTTTAGAATTTTTGGATAGTTTCCGAGGTATTTGGCCATTTCTGGTGAAATCCTTTGAACACGATAATTCCATTGGCCAATACGCTTTCCAGGATCTTTCTTCCGGGTCAACATACATATCAATGGAAAGCTTACGAAGAGCACTATCCATTGACATCATAAAAAGTTTAGAATTTTTGGATAGTTTCCGAGGTATTTGGCCATTTCTGGTGAAATCCTTTGAACAGGATAATTCCATTGGCCAATACGCTTTCCAGGATCTTTCTTCCGGGTCAACATACATATCAATGGAAAGCTTATGAAGAGCACTATCCACTGACATCATAAAAAGTTTAGAATTTTTGGATAGTTTCCGCGGTATTTGGCCATTTCTGGTGAAATCCTTTGAACAGGATAATTCCATTGGCCAATACGCTTTCCAGGATCTTTCTTCCGGGTCAACATACATATCAATGGAAAGCTTACGAAGAGCACTATCCATTGACATCATAAAAAGTTTAGAATTTTTGGATAGTTTCCGAGGTATTTGGCCATTTCTGGTGAAATCCTTTGAACAGGATAATTCCATTGGCCAATACGCTTTCCAGGATCTTTCTTCCGGGTCAA